CGATTTACATAACATGTAAGCATATTAAAGAATTAAAGGCTATTCAGGTTTCTTTTTTTTCAATGTTACAAAAATGTTTTTGTTGTTGTTTTTCAGGCACGTACTGTTTTTGTTTTTAGCTTTTCTTTATCTGTAGTCATGAGCCTATTGAAGAAAGGCCTACAGAAGTGAATCTTACAAGGAGGTAACAGGGAGATGGTTTTTAAAGAAGTGCAGTTAGTACCTAATTTACACAGTGAAACTAATCACAAAAAAATGGCTGATGCAAAAAAAGGAAAGGAAATCAGAGACTGGTTTCCAATTGATTTATGCCTCGATTCTTTCAGCTTCTCTTAGAGAAAGGGGAAGGGGAAATGATCTCATGGCGGGAGCCAGAGGAAAGATGGCCAATCGGACTGGTGGGACCCACGGGAATCCGACCCCACTGAAGGATGAATGAGGGGGGGAACATGAATGCCGTTTCAAATACTAACATGTAGTGTGGCATGTGATTGACTCAACACAAATGCAGATTCACAGAGAATTACGCAAGTTACGGCTTAAGAAGTTGGACAATAAATACAAATATTTCATCTTATTTAATGGTGCATGACTTCGGTGACGCTATCCCTTGCGATGCGATACACTTTAAGCACAAAACCTTCATTCTGAACAGTCTAAGCAATGAGTTTCTGAGAAAACTATTGCCAAACAAAGCGCAGTGACACTCGAAAAGAGAAGAGGGAATGGGGATTTGACTAACTTCTTCCAGGCTGTTGGTGTAGGTACAATGACAGGGAGGCCTGAATTCAAGCAGCTAGCTAGAATCTGTGGTGAGTAATTTTCCTTTTCATTTGATTTTCTCCTTGTAGAAATTTCTAGAAATACTCACAACTTGGTGGAAAGAAAGCACTCCTGAAATTTCGGAGCCCAGAGAGGGTATATTCTTAAAGACACCAGGCAGAGACAGACGGAACACATGCATTGAGAGTTCAGAGGCTAACTTTCAAAGACGTCTGATGTCATTTTTAAGTCTAGACTGATAAACATCTTTGTTCCTTGTTTGGCTAGTGTGTTTGCCTTCTTGTCCTTCTCCCTCCTCTTCCTCACCTCTATCAGCTTTCCCAATGTACACAAGGTTTTGATAAAAGCCAATATGGCCCCTTTGAGGGCTGGAACCTTCTTTGAAAACGCCGAATTGTGAATTCTTTGGAAGTTTCTCAGACAAGACACTTGGAGTCAATATTTTTTGCCCTAAGAACACTTCACTTGTCATGACCCTAACTCACTTTTGTTCTGCACTGTCATCTCAGTTTGAGGCTTCCAACTTGCAAAATGGTATCGTTGTGTAAACACACAAGTGCGCACGGTCGTCTGAATGGACGAGAAAGCCTCCGCAGAGACGAAACACGGAACTATCCGCTGGCCGAGAGTCTGCTGTTGGTGTGGACGCTCCCTCACGGGTGCAGAGCTGGGTGGTGAGTGGAGATGACACCGGGGTCCCTGGCACACACAAACACAGCAGTTTCTGGGTCGCTCCTGCAGCAGTGTGCTCCTGGTGGGCGGCGGCAGGGGCTCCCCCACGGCAGACAGACTCCCCCCGGGCGGGGTCCACGTGGTGCTCTTGCGGACAGAGGCCTGTGGCTGGTTACACATCCCGGTAAACCAAAGGCATTACGGTGATCTCAATATATTTTTGGTCTCTCTACAAGTGATCGTTATTATGGCAGCACTTTTCTAAGCTGGAATCTCAAACCAAAGGCACTTTCATGCTGGAGTGCAGAAGACTCACAAATAGCTAAGTATTTGGTCGTGAATTTAAAAGGCAACATTAAAAAGTACAATTTGCTTTTCATAGTCAACTATGAAGTTGCAAAAACCTTTCGTTTTGGTATCTACATTTGAGAGTCTGGTCAGAGGACTGACTTACGTTCAGTTTCCGATTGTAGACCAAGTAGTCAGTTTCTTGTAGAACTGGAGAAAATGGGCTTAATAAACAAAAGGGGAACAATTTTTGCTTGTTCTGTTTTAAACATGGGGCCAATTAGTCAATGGGCACTGAGAACAGGTGTAAGACAAGGCTGGTGGCGCGACTAACGTATCACTAAGGCACTGCTTACTGGAACGCTTTGGCAGCTCTGAATTTAAAACTTCCTAAAAAGAGTAACAGTAGTAAGAGAAATGCTTCCAGCTTACAAAAGGGCTCACAGTTCCGAGGCAGCCTTTTGCACTGCACACCCTCCACCGAACATCTCAAAGATTTAAGGCTTTTCAGAAACGAGAGGGCTTTGCCGCAGACACAGCAACATAAAGACATGAGCGGTGCAGACATGTCCTCTCAAGGTCACCGGTGAGAACGCGGACCAATGAGACTGGTTCTCCCTTCGTTAGGACAGGGGCAGTGTACCAGAGCATATACAAAACCATACCAATGATATGTACCTGGTTTGTAAAACTGACTGTCGTCTCGTGACTGAAGTAATTTATGGTTATACAAAAACAAACTGCTGAAGCCACTACAGTATTGAAACCTAAAGACTTGGGTTTTCAAGTCGCCTGGGGACTTGCCTACCAAGTGCTTGGAACGGGGCCTGCGCTTTAGCTGGTTGCCGGGATGCTTAGCAATGGGAACTTTGCGCCGGTGGCAGGGGAGCTGAACTCAGAGGAAGCAAAAAGGCTCATCAGCTTGCCTATCTGCTTGTGGTGACCTCCGACTACCCCATCAGGGTCTTGTCTGACCTGCCCACCTGGGAAGCAGCTGCCGCCTGGGGACAACGCTGCTGTGGCTCTGGCAGCGGCTTTCTTCCTCTCCCTCTCTTCTGAAGGGACTCCGCCCACACGTCTGTGGGGGTCGTCGAAACATGAGCACCAAAGAGGAACAACTTCCACCAGAAGAGGCCAAGCAGTAAGTGGCAGGAGTGTGAGAGCCTCACCCTTATTCTGTCACTGGCCACGCTGAGCCTCAACCTCCTCCTCCACACAGTGAAGGAGAGTAGGCTGTGCTCTCCTTTAGCTCAATAAACAAGCGCTTCTATCAGCCCCCTCCCGAAATGGATCCCCTCTCCTCCAGCCCTGAAGGTGAAAAGACACATTCCCAAAGCTCCTGCAGATACAAACAGGCAGAAAAGCAGAAGACCAGAGGAAATCTACCCAAACGATGGAAGGTTTGATAATGAGACCCACAAGCTTATGAGAAATAATGAAAATAGTTGTTTGTCTTTTAAATCCAGTAAACTAAGGATTGAAGATCAAATTAGAAATGCTCTTTGATTGCTGGGATGATCGTGACCAGCTGTTCCCCGCTTCCCCCAGCAGGAGGGAAAGAATGCAGGAGACAGAAGCAACATCCCTAGATGGGTGACCAATGGTAGAAGCATAAATGCTTGTGGTAAAAGAGACTTGTGAAATAGAAGTTCTGAAACGGGAAGAAGCATGGACACAATGTCACTTGTATAATATTTCTACCTGCCTCCTGACATCTGACGCGAGGGGAGAGATTACCGCAGGGTAAAATATGGTATGTGGGACCTGTGAAGTTTAGAGCAGTGATTCTCAATTAGGGGGGCCTCTGTGCCCATGGGACATTGGTGATGGCTGAAGACACTCTGGGTTGTGACAACTGAGGGAAGAGGTGCTACTGGTACCTAGTGAGCAGAGGCCAAGGGTGCTGCAACACCTCCTCTATGCACAGGTCACCCCTGCACAATAAAGGATAAAGGATTCCCTGGTATGAAACATCAACAATGTTGAGGTTGACACTGGCCTCGGGCAGTTTGGACATTTTGGAATCCTGGGACGTGTTTTTGAAGAAGTCATGATTTTTCGTAGGCGGAAAAGAATGGCAACAGACCAGCAGCTGGTTCCTCAGCTACCCCCTGCTTAGGAATGACAATTTGGCCTCCAATTGTCCAAAGAGAAAGCACGCAGTGTCTCTGAATCACACCCGGCAGCAGAGAGTCACCAGGGGAGAGAGCAGTGAGGGCCATTCTCTGGAAAGACTGCTTTGCAGTGCAGCGAGCTTTCCAACAGAGGGAGAGGACGGCCATGAAGGGCCAAAGACCAAAGACAGACTCAGATTAGATCTTACACAAATGCCACCCCAGGGTCTAATCTGGGAGAGATGGAGAGAGGGCCAAGGGTTTGGTTCCGCCCTGGAGAAAACTTGAGAAGAATAAGACAAGAAATAACTTTAAAGCATCTCAGAGCAAAAGATATAAGAAAGATTTAAGAGCAAAAAGTAAGCCTCAGGATTGTTTACGTAAGCCCCCCAATTCAACTACAAAAGGGTCTGGAGGAGGACCCTGGCGGTGAAGCAGCAGAGGCCGGGCCTGACCCGGAGTCGGTGATCAGGGATGCCCTTCTCTGCAGCCAATAGGACTACCCTCTAGCGGGTCTCCTGGGGTCCATTTTGCTACCTCTCTCCCTGGAGCTCTGGGATGACCTGGCTTTAAGCCACATGCATCATGTGCACGCCTTTAGTTCTGGGGTCCTGCTCTCATAAGAGTGGGGGTTCCCTTGAGGGAAAATACAAGAGACAGGAGCAAAAGCAACATCCCTCAGATGGATGACCAACAGAAGAAGTTCCAATGCTTGGGCTGAAGACCCGAAGGAAGAGCAGACAACGGGGGTAATCCTTCAAGGGCCCACTGGGAAGCAGGGGACAAAAGGCCGTCAGTCTCTTTCTGGAGAGAAGATGGGCACCCTCCTACTGGTTTCCTTAAGGGGTGTGCACTCCAAATGGGGAAGGTTTTGCACTTTCTCCTCTGGTCTTCCAGTGAACCAGTGGTATGAGTTTGGAAGAGGCCAGGTGTGGCCCAGTGTTCTGCTGGTCACCAGCCCAGCACACCCTCAGGCTCAAGACCACCAGATCCTAACCAGTGTGCAAGCAGGGTCAGAGCGGACAGGGAGACAGGGAGGGGGTATATAAGTTACTTGATGGGGCAGAACAAAGCTGTTATTTTCTTGCTTGATGAAAAAGTCTTGATATGTTTCACATCTTAGAAAACTTATTTCACATTCTGTTGTGTTAGCATGTTCCCAACATTTACAGAAATGTCACTTTCTTCTGGGAAGTTGGGGGTGTGTCCTTGTGGGTGTTTACCAGCGAAGCCCGGTGGAAAGAGATGCATGTGGCTATATCACACCAAGTCTGCCTGGGCCACGCTTTGGAATATCTGGGTTGATCAGTTCAATCTCTCATGAGAAGAGAACCTCTCACTTGAGCCTGTTTGAAAGGTCAGAGATAAATAAGGTGGGCCTCTTAAACCTCGGTCAAACAAGAACTGTGACTTATTGAGAGAGAAGAAAATGGATGTCCTTAGAGAATATATCTAGGTCTATAGAGACAGATTGAAATATACATACATATCAGCACCTAGCAAACTTAGTGGCACTAACTAGGTGTGCAATAAATACGTGATGAATAGCTCTATATGTATATGTATTCACAAACACATACATATACATATAGTTATAGCAGGTTAATAGGCCTATTGGATCACCAGAAATAAACAATTTATCCACAGGCTAGTGAGGATGCTTGCCAATTTCGGGGGAGCAGAGATGCTAAAACTGATGAGCCTTTTTCTTGTTTGGTTGATGCAATTTCTTCCCAGCCACAGGATTTTCTATACTTTGTAGCTCACAGTGCAGTATTCATGCCAATTAAAATTTTTTGTTATTAAATTTCAGTGGTTCAAATACTCATCTTAATAAAAAAATTTGGTTGTCCATATAAAATATAACTGCACACACAAGACTATAAACATTGTAAGTTTAGATTTTCAGTATTTATCTACTTATTGCAAAAGAGCCATCTTTTCTTTTTCATTAAATAATCAATCATCACATTAGTAACAATACAATTTTATATTTTTAAATATACTATATATGTTAAGGATAAGGGGTGAAGTTTTCTTCCTTTGTAATACCTGTTCAAGCGTTTAATGGATTAGGAGATTAGTTTTAACCTTGTGAAAAAAGTACAAATTTTTCTCATTAGGATATTTCTACCAAGCATTTCTTAAGGCTATTATTTTAACATTTGGTTTCAAAATGAAATAAAAGTTTCATTTAAAAAATAATTTAGTGAATTACATTCTTTCATAACTTCCACCCTAATTAGTTACAAAGATAAGTCTAAAGATTCTTAGTGTTGTATACTAAATTTACATTTATATTTAAAGATTAATTTTACTTGTATCTTAAAACAAGAATTTTATGTTGGAAAAAAAAGAAAGAACTAAATACATTTGTATAAAGGCTAGAAATGTCCCACGGCAAATGCTCTGTCTGAATATTTTTTTACCACCATTAGAAACAGGCCTCTGTGGGCAGAGACAGGTTCTAGGGTTCACCTTTCCCGAGGAACTGTGGGCTGCAGATCTGAGGGACACAGGAACAACTCGATTTCTCTTTTTACAACTGTACCAGAACTTCACAGCTACGATGATAGTATGAACGCATGGAAAAATGACTTCACTCAAACAGGACTTAGAAAAGTAGGGTGACCGCAGGGCCAGGGCACCACCCCTGCACGGGGAGGTTTACAGTCAGTCGTTCGAAAATGGAGAGTGTGTGTGTGTGCACATGTGTGTGTGTGTATATACAGGTATCCATATATATAAATAACCATGTTCAGTCCTTTACAAGCCTGTAAATGTGGTGCTGTGCTCCATGTTCACTATTTGAAACTTCAAATACACAGGCCATGCAGAGGAGAGTTTCTTGTGTATCCCTGTTTGTAACCACCTGTTAAAAAAAAAAGTATATATACACATAAATAAAAACACCGCGTGGATGAAAGCATATTCCACCTGTGCTGTGATGACTCTGGTTTCCTTGGAGAGGAACAGTCTAAAGTCCAAAAGCCTCACGTTGCCCCTCTAGCAGGAATTCAGGATATTGTGGGTTGGATTTGAAACCCATCCGAGTTACCGTATGTAGGAAGGACCTGACAGAAAGGGTCTCACACGTAATCTGAGCCCCAGAGAGACCAGAGAATTAGTGTGAGCTTTGAGGGAGAGGGGGTGGGCGGAAGTTGATTTCTTTACAACAATTTCCTACAATCCTGTCCCATGAGGCAGTCATTTATCCTAAGAACTGTCTCCTATCTTATTCCTAAACTTTTATTAAATTTCTTTCATGATAGCCAGTGATAGATATGTCTCGTGAGTGCCTTGCTCGCCACTTTTAACCAGCAGTGCCCGGATCAGTAAAATATACGCTGGGTAAAGAACAGTGGTAGCATCAAGTCAAATGATCCTTCTTTTAATTTATGGGGGCTTTACTTTTCAAAATGTATTTTGGAATATCTGCCTCCCCTCTTGAGTCGAGTGGCTCCAGTCCATCTCTCTCCTCCTCACGCCCACTCTCAGCCTCCGTTCAGACCTTGAGTCCTCTAGCCCAGATCATGGCAGCCCCTCCCCACTGGACCCTACCTCACTCCTCTCCTCATTCTCTCCATCCCCCATGCCACTCTCAGAAGAAGCTTTCTAAAAGAAAATCTAACCCAACTTCCCTCTTCAAAATGCTTCTCTGACTCTGCTACATGAGTGTTTCGTTAGTCCAGCTCAGTGTTTTCAAAGATTTTGAATTTGAGAGCCTCGTCCAGTTTGCCGTGGGTCTCGTTCCCGCTATGTATCAGGCTGCCTTGCCCACTTAGCTTCCCTTACGGTTCAGGCCTCTAAGTGTATGGTCGCTGACTAAAGAATAAAGTCCCACAGGATTTGTAATTTTCCTATCACAGCAGTCTATACCATCTGTAAGTACATATAAATTTGTATGAGTTTAAAAAAATGCCCATCACATCCAGTGGGCTGCAAGTTCTTGAAGAACAGGGACCACATTCCCCAGTAACTAACTTGGCACACAAAAGTCATTTAATGAATATTTGCTGGATGAATGAAAAGTCACATAATAATAGCCAACATATATCAACTACTTAGTACACATGTACTCCGTATTAAATGCTTTACACGTATTGTCTCATGTGATATAACAGAATTCTATGAGCAGGTGCTATATCCCTCTTCCTCTGACAGACAAGGAATCTATTTAAGAACACACAATTGCCAACTAAGGAATCCACATCTTCTAATGCTAAAGATCTTTTCCTTAGCCGTCATATCATGCTGCTCTCGACAACTGACACAGTAACGGATTATCTACGTTTGTTTTTTTGTGGGCAATAAAGACGTTTTTCCATACTGGTACCCACATGCTTTTAGTCTTGATT